TTCCACATGGCTGAGTCGTTCTAGTCGTTCTGAGTCGAAGCCCATGGAAAATCTGCCATCTCACAGAGGCGTGAGGCTTCGCACAAACAGGCCTCCAGAGGTTACTGGAAATTAATCATTATGTCAATTCAAGGTAAACCGTGTCATATGAAGGAATCGGTAAAATTCTAATAATATCTTGCTAATTCTTCATTTGATGGCCACACAACTGGAAACTAGGACTGACTGAGCTACGGTAAACTAGAATAACATTTTATGTAATTATCTTTACTTCAATATTTGTGCCAGTTTCTTGTCAAAACACATCATTTCCCCCTAAATTTCAATACACATTACATGTTACATACGTATGTATACACTACCGCTCAAAAGTTTGGGGTCAGTATGTTTTTTTAGAGGGGAAAAAAAAAACTTTTATTCAGCAAGGATGCATTAAATTGATCAAGAGTGACAGTAAAGACATTTATAATGTTTCAAACGATTCCTATTTGAAATAAATGATGTACTTTTAAACAACAATTTTTTGATCAAACACAATAAATGCAGTAAAAGAGATTTACGCTTATGACGTTTATATAAATAAAACACAAACACATTAAAAACACATAATAAATACATTACATAAACACATTTTTCATATTAACAAAACAACCTTAGAGAACAGTCAAGAGTCCTATGTGGCCATGCACATGACCTCATTCAACTAGTGAGTGTCTTTCTCGTAATCGAGAGCTACATTTAGCCCCCAAAACCAGCCACTTCACTCACATGCACGGCACAGGCCCCCTTTAATGACCACACTTTAATGTTTGGAGACAATGTTCCCTCTGTTTACACCTGAGAGTCCAAAGCTCAGGTGGTGCCCAGTGACCAGGCAACTGAGTGGAGGGATAAAAGGAGCATCCTGAACTCATGCAAGACGTCGCTGGGATGCCAATCCGGATTCAAGACACTGAAAACAAAATGAAGAGATTTTACAAATAGTGACTTGTGCCTGATAAGACTCACAACATTACCCAAAGACCGAGAACGTGAGTGAGGATTCGTAATATTGCTGTTTTACAACGGACCGACAGTAGTAATGGAAGTCTTGTATGGTTATGGGATCAGCAGTACGTTATACCTGCAGATGCATTATGGACATGCCCAAAGCTGGTTTACCTTTGTGTCTACAGTGGCAGACATGCGTACATTTTTATTATTTTTTCCCATCTGGTTCCACCTACAAACAGCAGTGGGAGTGAAGCTGGTCTGGGTTGCAGTTGTGGGAGACTGGCTCAACTTAGTCCTCAAGTGGTAAGCATTGTTGTTGTTTCTGTAAATATCTAAAAATGTTGAAAGAAGTATTTGTAGCCAGATTGAATGGATAAATAATAGAATAATCATTCACAAATAAAGCCTTCTCTCAATATTGGATGCCTATATGTAATAAATTTATCTTCACCGGTCCTAATCAGATTTATTTATTAAATAACTAAACAGGCTTATGTTTGGCGAGCGTCCTTATTGGTGGGTTAAAGAAACTGTTTATTATGGCAACTTGACTGTACCACAAATCAATCAGTTCCCCATGACCTGCGAGACTGGCCCTGGTGAGCGTCTCCTTATGTTTCTCATTGTATTTATATAGACCAACCAACACACTAAATCGGAAGCAGATTTCACAGCAGTTTCTGTCCGCTCTTCTAGGAAGTCCCTCTGGTCATACGATGGGAGCTGCAGGGGTTTACTATGCAATGATCACTTCACTGCTGCCGAATTTGCAGGGATGTGACCACTTAAAAAGATGGTGAGTGATTATATCCTGTTTATATTTTTATATAGTACACAGATATCATCTTCATTTACAAGATGATACCAGACTGAATGCATGGAAATGCTCTTCAGACACAAGAAATCATCCAGAATAATTGAGAGATAAAAAGGAAGGAAAGAAAATACCTGCACAACACAATCTACACTACATTTACAGTCTCCAGTCAGAAGGAAATACTTCATTAGTTACTTGTAAACTCATTTATCTTAGCAGCTCTGTTCTGTCTGTCATCACCATAGCAAGTTGTATATTACTAAAAATGCAGTTTATTTTGGGTAGATGATGGGCCAATTAGTCAAGTAGATATTGAATGTCATTCTAAAAAATAACCAGGTTCTTCATGTCAGCGTTTTGCTGTTTAATATTAATAATAAACATTTTCTTTCTTTTGCATTTGTGCCATATAATAGGTGCTTGCATGGTCTTCTTTGGGCCCTTTTCTGGGGTGTGCAGGTTTATGTCAGTCTTTCTCGAGTCTTCATTGCAGCTCATTTCCCACACCAGGTCATTGCGGGAGTTGTCTCGGGTCAGTTGCATTGTATATTTTCCATATTAGTCTGCCATTCAAAATTACATACAAGATGAATAAGATCTCTTACTTCTCTTACTCTTATTCTGGTTTCAGCATACAGTTTCTTAATTAATTGTTCACTTTCACTATACAGGAATCGCTGTAGCCAAGGCTTTTAATAGAGTGTCCTGGATCTATTCAGCAAGCTTAAAGAATTATGTGCACACCATCCTCTGTCTTGTGTTCATTGCGCTGGGACCTTATGCACTGTTGGATGCTCCTTCAATAGACCCCTACTGGAGTCTAATGAAGGCACAGAAGTGGTGCAATCAGCCTGAATGGGTCCATCTGGACACCACACCCTTCGCTGGCCTCCTCCGCAACACCAGGGCCCTGTTCGGCCTAGGGCTGAGCCTCCATTTGCCTATTCAAGGTGATCTGGAAAAAAACAAGAGCTGTGGAAACCGCACCATTTACAGACTGACCCAGTGTTGGGGAAAGTTACTTTTAAAAGTAATGCATTACAATATTGCATTACTCTATAAAAAAGTAACTAATTATGTTACTTAGTTACTTTTTATGGAAAGCGTTACGTTACTTTTGCATTACTTTTTAAATCTGGACTGGGCTTGCTTGTTTGTTTTTAAAATAAAAAAAGTTCTATTTTTGCCAAATATAAAAGCCTTTTCACACCAAAAGTGAAATGAATAAGCCTCAGGCTGAAGGGAAAGTACATTTACGTCCGTACAGTAGAATGCAGAAGAAGAAATTTCAACATACTTCAGCAATAAAAAAAGACACACAAATGTTTGTCTAGAGTAATTTGTGCTTATTAGTATGGTTGATCTGGATCATCGAAGGTCAGAAGCAAAGACACTGGTTAATAGAATGGGATTAAATACATAAAGGATATTTGTGTTGTTTAACGTTTAATTATTGCAGGTTTGCGTCATATTCTGAGTTGCATTATTTTTATTAATTTTGAGGAATACTGAATCTGTGTTTCTTTTGTGAGTGAGATTAATTAATGCATATTCATATTTATTTCAGAACTACAGTAACATCTTCTGATTTCTCTCAACATGGGGACAGGAGAGCTGTCAGTCAATAAATTGGAGAAAAAAAAGTAACTTGCGTTACTTATTTTAAAAAGTAACTCAGATATTCTCTTGTAAATTAAAAAGTAATGCGTTACTTTACTAGTTACTTGAAAAAGTAATCTGATTACGTAACTCGCATTACTCGTAATGCGTTACCCCCAACACTGGACTGATCTGTACAGCAGCAACACTGCCACTCCTGAGCCTCTTAGATTCATTCAGACCTCCCACAAGCACTCATGCGCTCTTCTATGCACTTTCTTTCTGTAAGAGTGCCGCTGTGCCTCTAACCACAATACGTTTTGTACCTTACTGCGTAAGCACATTAGCAAATGTATACCACAGAATGAAAGCATATTAAACTCAGAAAACACATCATGAGATTGTATTTTTGGCAATTAAGTCTCGATTTACTATTTTCCTCTGGTTACCTGTTTTGAAATATTTCAAAGTATTATTTTAGAAAACCAAAGATTACTTTATATGTTTTGATTATAATGTATGCAAACTGAGACATGCAGAGATATCGTCAGGAATATCCAATGCTATATATATATAATTAATTAATGTAAAATATGATTTAATATATTAAATAATTTAAATGTCACAATGGAAGAGCTATATCTGATTAACTATATAGTTTTCAGTCAAAATGTATGTACATTTATGATATAGTACATTATATAATATTTGCTGGCCGTCAGGTCAAGTCAACTTTATTTATATAGCACTTTATACAATACTGATTGTGTCAAAGCAGCTTTACAGTGTCAAACATACAAAAATAGTTTGTCAATAATGCAAGAGGACAATAACAAAGAGTTATTTTTCCAGCTAAAGTCAGTTCATTGATGATTCAGTGATGACACTATTGTTTGATATTTTTGTGTTACATTTTATATTTATGCTGTGATAAATTGTTTGTGTTTTATAATTTTTACACTGTTCAATGGCAGGTTTAGTTGTAACAACTAACCCCATATAGTGACAACATGCCCCTCTATAATTGGCAAATGTTGTGCAATGTGCCTATAGAGACATTGATTTTCAAAAATAAACCTATGCTGAAAGATATTATGAATCAAACTGTTTTTTTTTAATTGAGCTTGAACTATTGTACATAATAACAGGGGGATGTAGCTTATTACACAACTTCAAGTTTTGCATAAATTATAACTGCTGTATTAAATGTTACAGTCTAAAAACAATATAAAGTGTTCATCTATTGTAATTATTTTATGAAACGCACAATGTATTTATTAAAAAATGGACATCTGGTTGCAGAAACCTTCAGAAAATTCCAACTCGATGATGAAATGCTTCAAATAGGCTAAAATGTCTTCATCAGTGATGTTAGTGCCGCCATCTAGCGACAGAACTATTACCACAGGAACTGCACAACACGAGCCATACTTGCCCTTATTTGTGTTTTACTTGATAAACATTTGTAATCAGCTAAAAATAGGGTAATCATAAATAAATCATCCATGTCTGTTTAAAAGAATGGTAACTTCCTCCTGTTTATCATTTTCCGTGAGACCTTTACAGTAGAATTTTGTACCGGAAGTGGAGAGTGTAAACAGACGCGAGTCAGTCGTGACCGTGCCTGTCAGTGATGAAGCAGTGTTTCCTTGTACCAAATTAATGTTTCCCTCACTTCCACAGGGATGCATCACTTAAGCGGCCTTCGACAGGTTTAGTCGATCAAACTGCATTAAGAAATCCAGCAGAAACTGAACCTAGTGACTCGGCTGCAGGAGCGAGAGGCGCGGAGAAGCGCTATGCCGCGGCGGAAGGTATGACTGCATCCTACAGGCCAGCTGCGTACGTGCCTGTATAGAGCTGGTTCTCAGCATCTCGCACCTGCGTGTTCATGTGTAACCAGCCTTCACCTGCTCGTTTCACACATACTCGAGATCCAGCAGTCGCAGTCACCAAACCCAAATGACTAGTTTAATTGTTTGTGTGTGCAATGTGCAGACGGTAGCAAAAATGGTAAAGTTACGGCTCTGTGTAATTACATAATACGTGGTTTCACGTATGTAATAAACGCATACACAAATAGTTCATATTTATTGTGCCTTCAATTCAGACATTTGTTTTTGTGATACAAGGAAAAAGGCTAAAATATGGTCTTTTTTTCCCAAGTCATTGTAATTACCTAATATCACGTCATGTTTTCATACATGCTGATAAAGCAATATTTACTGTCAGGAGGGAATAATGGGGAGTGAGGGAGGTCCTGAAATTAGCTACAAGGGTGTTAAAAGCATCTTAGCCCAAAGGCCTTTTTTTCTAATTTGGGTCATTGTACACCCATATGTTAACCTAGTTAAAATGTTTTGATTCAACCAAACCAGTGACCACAGTGTAAAAAAAAAGATTTTCTCAGTAACACTTTGTTAGTATAGTTTCATGTTTTTGAATATAATATAATAAAGTTATAATTATAATATAAACATTATTACATTATATTATGCAGATCATTAGTTTAAGGTATTAGTGAACCCCATGCAGCACCTTCTGGGACACTGTGTAATTAAAATGAGAAACATATTTTCACAGGTCAGGTGGCACTATCTGATTTTTGTTAATGTCAAATTACCCTAATTAACAGGGTTATCTGTTATCTGAAGTGAATTTTCATAAAAAAGCTTGCCATCCTTTTAAAAGTAAATTTTTCTCATTTGTTTCAGTATCTGTATAGCAATAAAAAAGATTTACAATAAGGTTCCATTGGTTAACCTTAGATTATTACCTAGTTAAGATGAACTAAAAGATAGACTAAAAATACTTCTAAAGCATTTATTAAGCTTAGTTCATGTTCATTCCAACATTTACTAATACATTATTGAAATCAAAAGTTGAATCTGTTCAAATTCAGTCTGAGCTAAGATGAACTAACAATTCAAGTTTATTTGTATAGCGCTTTTCACGATACAAATCGTTGCAAAGCAACTTTACAGCAAATTAAGTTTCTACAATATTTAGTGGTAGCTTATCAGTGGTGACTGTCAGTTAATGTACATATGGCAGAAATGTACAGAAAAATCAATTAAAGACGTAATCAAACAGACGATGAACACTATTAACAGCAATTATTATATGATGCAATCAAAC